GTCCGCATTCGCCATACGCAGGTATCCGGTATGCGTTTTACAAACACCCCTAGCTCGGTGTCGGGGACCTCTCGAAAGTCCGGGTAACTTTTCGGGTCGAATGCCAATTATTGAAATCATATCGAAGTCTAAAAGAGCGAGTCTAACAAACCAGTGCATTTTATTTTGTTAACGGATAGTTTTACCATATTGTCTGCAAAACTGTCGAAACTTCGATCTGCCTAGACTCTTTTTTCGAAACATATAATCAATATAATCATTTAGTATGTTTTATTATATAGACAGGAGTGTTTTAGTGGAAAATATACCACTCGTAAAATTCATAAAAACTACATCCGGGACCCGAGTGGTTTATTTTCAATAATCTCACACGTGAGTTTATCGATGACGTAATTTTCGTAATTTCCATCCGAAATTTGTAGGCGTCTTGCGTCTTTTGAAATTTACTTACACATTTTTCAAAGCTTTGCTGATAGTTTGTCATTGTAGAGCCCTATTCAGCTCAGTTTTATTTCTGAAGATAATTGTAAACAGTGTCTTATATTGCTGTACTGTAAATTTGAGCCGTCACGATTACTTTTTGGCGAATAAAAATCTATCATTTTATCGATGTCATTTTGTCTATATAATAAAAAGAACATTACACGGCGGCTAGAAGATATGAATTTTATTTTCTCGTGGCAAAAACAATATTTTACTCAGTCGCTGCGCTCGTTCGTAAAATTTTGTTTTGCCACTCGAAAATAAAATTCATATCTTCGCGCCACCGTGTAATATCCTGTATATACTAAATGCAAGGAGATGCTAATTAATTTTATGAGTAATCATAATTTTATTATGAATCCTATTATAATTGGTAGTAACACAATTGAGAGAGTCATGACATATAAGCTACTAGGCGTTTATGTAAGTAATGACCTGAAATGGAAAAATCATGTAGAAGTTGTAGTGCAAAAGGGAAACAGGAGGCTTTACTCTTTAAGGGTCCTTAAGCAATGTGGTGCACCTCCAGCTTCACTGGCTAAGGTTTATACAACCATTGTTCGTCCTGTTCTAGAATATGCTGCCCCTGTCTGGCAAAATATACCAGATTTTCTATCTTATA